TGGCTGGCCCTGCATCACTAGGACTTGTTCCTTCTGCTGCTAAAAATAGTTTGTAGCGTGGCCGTTTCTGTGTCATTTCATTAGCAGGTGTAACTCCTTGACGTGGTGTAAAGTTCTCATGAACTCCTTCCAGGTGCTAGTTGCTTAGAAGTTCTGGAATTGTCAATTTTTACATTTTCACCCTTTTTAAAATTCTTCTGGATAGGTGAGCAACAAGACTGTTAACAGTGTATTACGCTTGTGTTGTACTGTAAGGTCTTTGGATGGTTTTGTTTTATGTATGTTTTGTTCCCAACAACCATGTTTTATGCCTAGATATCAAAACTGCTTTTTATGATTTAACGTATGTTATTTAAAACTTTCTTTTGAACTTGACTTTACAGATTTTATTATTTAAAGATTTTCTGTGGGATTTTTTTTTAAATACCTTATGACCCTCTTACAGACTCCCTTGAAGACTGAGCAGCCTCCTCTTGTCCTGTCACCCGACCCTTTTTAAGACCCCCTACAAAACAAATAGGATTCTTTACCCTTCCCTGCAGCATATCGTGTTTCGTGACTTAATTTTAGGCAGTTCCAGCCCTTCTCAAGCTGGACTTCTCACTGGTTGGTGGTTAATTAAACTATTAAAATGTCATTACCTAATGATAAGATGGCAAATTTTCAAATTCCTTATAAGACCTCTTCACCTCTTGAACCTTCCGGTTTGCATGAAGCATGATATAATTATGGAAAGGGAACCAACAAACTGAATTTCCCTGTTGGCTGTTTCTTGGGTCCGGTGTCAAGTGGTAATCAGACGGTTTGGGGGTGGCTGCTCCACCTCCAGCCTTTTGGAGACTCTGCAGCAGGCAGTCCAGGCGTATCTTTCAGCCACCCTTACTGCTAAGGCTGGAGTAATTCCTGTCTCACCCTTGGGTAAAAATAAAGGCAGTAACACAGCACAAAGTGCAGCCAACCAGTTGTTAGCCATTACAGAGCAGATAAATGAGAACTCCATCCAGGGCATTCCACGCTATTGTGGCAGTCACATGTATTCTGTATAATATAAATTATGTAGATTAAGGACACATTATAAATTAGTGTGGAACATGGTTGTCATTCCTTTAGGCCCTCCAGACACAACGTGGAAGAAAAACAATTTCTTCTAAGAGGTCAGGATCATTTCTCCATTTGTTATGCAGAAACCCAGCGATCGTTCTGTTCAGAAATACAATATAACACAGATTGAATTATGTGGTGTTATGCGTTTGAGATCTTTTAGCATTATTTTTTTTATACTACCCAAATGAGTTATAAAATCTCATTTTCACGTGTGCATTTCATAGGAACATTTCATATTTGTGTCAGTGCTGAATAATATTGTTGGTTTTCATTCTCATCGGAATAAAATGGCAGTGCAATCCTGGTCATTTTTAAAAGATAATGTTGACATGTCTTTTTCAATCTAGCAACCCTGACTGAAATTTATTGCATGGAAAACAAACTTCTGATAAACGCAACGCTACTTGAGGACTGTATTTCCCATACTGTGACATTTCCCATGTGAATGAAATCTGAATTCCACACAGATACAGTGTGTTTCTTGAAATGCATTTTACTTTCAGTTCTATAAATCTCAGTTCCTCACAAGAGCCTGTGCCACTTCTGGAAAAACCCATACTTGCCCGGGGATATGCTCAGCTCTTGGCTGCTGTTTCCAGCTGTAAACAGAGCAGGTTAAAAGAACATTTTAGTGACTGCGAGTAGTACTACCTCGCTTTATCTGAGAAATTGTTAGTAAACTGTCAATGGGAAAAACGTTCTGAAGAAAAAATTAGTTGCACGTTAAATTCTGGGATATGGAACTCTTAATGTAAATAGCCTTTCCTCGCAAAATTGGATTTTTCTTCCTTCAGTCCAGCAAGCTTAAGTACTGTAACGTTGACTTGGTCAACGGAATGAAAACAAAACGTGAGATGCTAGCAACTGGAAAGTGGACATTCACTGTCCTTTCTGCATTAGTGCTTTGAGAAGAACAGCGAATGCCAGGCTCACCCGATAACACAGTGCCTTTTTAAAGCAGGCAAATTATTGCAGTGTATCCTTTGTGATGTGTTAAACTCTTTGGCACAATTTATGCATTTTAACATTTTGTTGGCACTTTCTAGCTGCATGTTGTTCACTTTAGAAGGCATCAAATTTGATTAGTCTTAGACAAGGACTAAGATTAGATTAGTTTTAGACAGGGATGTTGCTTTTTTTTTTTCCCCTACATTTATTCGTTATTCATTCCTTTGTATGCCAAGAAGTTTGGATCTTGGTACATTTCCAGTGGAAGCTTGTCCTGCACGTGGCAGCATTTCCAACGAATAGCCATTTCCTGCAGATTTCACTACTGAAGGTGGTTTGTCCAGATCATTCATGATAGAGCATGATGGTCCTCCCTAAGGAGGTCTGTGCTGCTGGACAGTATTTATTTGTGGTCATTAGAAGAAGATACAAATAATCGTGGGCACTCTGGCACAGCTGAAGTGCAGCTCAGGTGCTGAATTCTGGAGTAAGTACTTAAAAGGAAAAATGAGGGGGGAGAAACTTCTGTCCTGGATTTGTTGACACTGTTTTACTACAATGTTATTAAGTAAAAAGTAGAAATAGGCTTGGGAAGAAATAATGAAAACCTAATTTTCCCCCTTTTGAATGAATGTCCTGAGTGTTCACATCCAGCTTTGCCTGGTGTTAAGGGGCAGGTCTCCAGGGACGTGGGAACTGTTGTCATTCTTGCACCTGAAAGAGCATTATGTGCACATCTACATCTTTATTATTCTGCCTGAAGGCTTTAACATAACCAGATGGTATTTATCTGGCCATTGTAGATGAAAGAAAAAAAAAAGCATGTGACAATGATAAACACTGAATAAAAATAGCAAGTACATGTAGACTCTGTCTTAAAGAAGTCAGAGGAAGTCCTGAGAATTATTGACTCTGCTGTATATCAATTCCAGAACAAACACTTTGAAAGCATGTGTATGTGTGCATTTCTGAAATCCGTACACCACTTTGATCCCTATAATTTGAGGAGGTCAGACTGGCCCAACTTCCCTAGGGGAAATTACTCTTTTTCCAAATGCCCGCACTTTTGTTAGGACCCAGTTAGACTGTGAAGTGCAGGACAGCAGAAAAGAAACTGTTGAGAATTTGATCATACGCATTGTCTGTAAGGTCCAAAGAATAACAACAAATATATGTTTATAGATATGTTGAAAGGATTAAGAAGCTAAATTAATAAACTGATAAATAGTAACAGGAATGTAAAATAGGCCGAAGTAGGAGTCACAGTGATGGAATGACTAATAATCTGTTCAGATCTCTGCTAGCTGTCAGGTTCTTATTGCATGAAAGAATATTGAAGAGTAAATGGCAATAATTTTGGAGCCACCGAAGAAAGGATGTTGATTAGAACCGAGGCTGACCCATCAGCACTGGGGAAATTTTCATCAAGTGTGGGGTGGCTTTTTAACAGGTATACTAAATCTCATATCAAGAGCTTGTCATTCTGCATCTGTTCAGGCGACATTTAAGTAACTACCTTTCTTATTTCAAAATGTAAATTTTCCATTGACATACTTGGATGAATTTTGACACCAACACTGGTTGGCAGCCTAGCCGTGGTGATAGTCTGTCACACGTTTTTGCTTTATAGGAAGTCCCTGGTTTTATTTTGTGTAAAGTATTAAAATACAATTTTTTTAACAACGTGATTTCACCAGGTACCGGAGAGTAAATAAACCATTATTCAGTTTTAGGCCGAATTAATTTTTACTTGTCCTCTGTGAGACTAGATCTGTCCTTTTAGAACCCCTGTAATTTCCCATTAAAAGTAGATTGAGTAACATGAAAACCTGTCTGTTAATTTGTGGATGACTTCTTTGAAATGGCCTTTTGAACACAAATTTGCACATGTGCATCAATATTCTGCAGATAAGGACTGAGTAAACACAAAGTATTTTCATACTGTAACAGTTAAACATTGTCCTTCTGCTGGAAAATAACGACATTTCCCTGAATAGCAGGATCAGTTTATGGGAATGTATGTAGGCCTTGCTATAGTTCTTCATAGGATTCCAAAAACTGGAGAAAATGAAGGTCAGTCTGAGCATGAGTAGCACCTCTGGTTTGTATCCTCAAAACAAGGACATAGAGATGACTGGATTTGGAGTCCCTGTAGTCCTGTTTCTTGTCTCCACCAACAACCAAACTTGGATGCCTAAGGAGTGCAACGATAAGGCAAGCATAAATGATT